ATATATATGACGAAAATTACTCACCATTTTCACTCTATTGCAACTAGTCTCAGATGCACTGATAGATGTACGTACCACAAATTAAGCATCATGACTGGACTCAGAACATGAAGACTATATCGTATACTTAATAATACTAATTGTTTGTTTTACCTATGTCACCAATAATCTTCACAAGAGCAACTACCATGCTTAAAATGATGGAACCTATGAATATCTCTTACAATTATTTCACGATCTAGAAGCTGAGAAACACATTTAATGAAGTTATGGCAATCTGTACAAATGCGGAGGTTTTTTATAATTCGAATCGGGAGCCTATTGGCAGTGTTAATGATGCCAAAGACTACTGCAAGTTTTTCACTGTGATGACTAACAAGTACTTCTCCTTGCTCTTCTTCTACATCCTGCATGACCAGTTTGGCATCAGGGGAATACCCAATTTCCTTCAACCTTCCGATCAAAGGGTCCAGATATGAGTATATCTCCTTGTTTTGATGGTGAGACCTATCTCCCATGACAAAAGTGTGGATTTGATCCTTTAGTTGAATCCAAGATTGACCTGGCTGCTTCTTGACTCCTCTTTGATGCATTAAACTCCTTACCCTAGCAGCCTCGTCCCAGCTATGGTTAGAAGCACACATATTTGATAGCAAAACGTACGCTCCTGGATCAGATGGTGCAACTCGAAGCAGCATATCAGAATCCCACTTTCCCATTTCAACATTTTTATGAAGTCGGCAAGATGATAGAAATGATTTCCAGACAGAAGTCAAGTGAGAGAGACCATTTTCAAAAATGAAGTTCTTTGTCTCTGTTAAGCAACCTGCTCGACCATAAAGATCAACCATAGAAGTGCAGTGTTCAACTCCAGGATGGATGCAATAAGCATCTTTCATCATCCTATAATATCTACAACCTTCGTCAAGCAGCCCAGCATGGCTGCATGCATTTAAAACCCCTACAAAAGTAACCTCATTTGGCCTAATACCCTGATTCAACAGTTTTTCAAAAAGACTAATTGCCTGCCTTCCTTGACCCTGTAGCGAACAGCCAGATATCATTGAAGTCCACAAGATAATGTTTGGTTCATTGATTTGTCTGAAAATCATCCATGCATCGTCCAAGCTACCACACTTAGAATACATATCAATTAATGAAGAGCCAACATAAGCATCTACTCTATGCCCTATTTTCTGAAAGTAAGCATGTATATGCCTTCCAAAATCCAAAATCCCAACATTAGCACAAGCAGAAATAACAGTTGTAACTGTTCGAATATCCACTACAACCAGTTCACGAACCATTGACCTGAAAGCTTTCAAACCATCTTCATACTTCCCATTCCAAACATAACCAGAAACCATTGAACCCCATGAAACTATTCCTGCCTTTGTTTCTTTGCTAGTAACTCCAACATTCCCTTTTCTCCGGAAGTCCAGAGGAACATCTCTGAGAATTATAGATGCCTTATCTATTCTCCCACACTTACAATACATTTCTATAAGTGAACTCTTCGTAAAACCATCAGTATGAAATCCACGTTTAAGGACCATCCCATGGAGTTGTCTCCCAAGCTCCACAAGTGATAAAGAGGAAGCCAAAATAAGAGCTATGGAGAAAGTGACATCAGAAAACTCAGTCCCATATCCCACCATACAATGGAGTTGTTCCAATGCCCGTCGTTCATAACCACATTGCATCAACCCATCCACGATCGTATTCCAACTCACAACATCCTTACTAGGAAAGTTCCTGAACATGTCAAGAGACTTCTTCACATCTCCAACACGCAGATACGCACCGATCATTATATTCCATGACACGACATCCCTTTCATCCATCAACTCAAACAACCTTTCCGCATATTGAAAAGCATTGCATTTCAAGTAAACATCAAGAGCAGAGTTCCCCAGCACGACATCTACATCAACCCCATGCCTGAGCATCCATGCGTGAACTCCCTTGCCGAATTGAAGATTGTTGTCAAACGAACAACACTTGAAGACACTGGACAAGGTGTATTGGTTTGGACAAGCACCCTTTGCCTGCATTTCTCTGAAAAGGTTAAAAACCATTTCTGAAGAGCCGGCTCTGACAAAACCTGATATAAGGATGGTCCATATGTGAGTGTTTTTGAGTGGAATTTCATCAAACAGCTTCTGGGCATGACCCATGTTGTAGGATTTGACATACAGAGTCAAAAGATGGCTAGCCAAGTTCATAGTTTGAAGAGAGCCATTCTTGACGGAGAGGGCATGAAGGGTACCCGGCTGTGGTGGACCATTGGATATGGTAGAATGTAATAAGGAACATGATTGGCCGCAACGAGGGTGAAATGGGATGGTCGTTGTAATGCGATAACTGGTCACTGAAACTAGATAAACACGGTTGGCATATATCTGAGAACATGATCCAAGACCCATAAAAGTAAGTGCTAACACCCAATCTAAAGCCCTTTGTAAAGCTCATGCATTGAAACAAGTTTCACCTTCATATTTGTATGGTTCGTACGATCTTACAAGGTTTAACGTCAGGTCTTTATTTTGGTCCGAAATCTCATTTAAGTCTCTTTTCTTTTTGCCGTCTTAATTGGGTCCTCATTTTTGTAAAATTGGAGTAATTAAAGGCCTGCTGTCAAATTGGACAAACGGCCCTTTAATTGTGCGTTACGTGGCATGGACAGTGTTTTCACTAATCACACGTGGAATTAAAAAAGAGTTTTGTATTAAAAATTTGGATTGAATCAGATTTAGGGAAGGGCAAACTGGAGAAAATGTAAAAAAAAATTAAGTGCAGCCCCAGGGTCGCGTAAGGGAAAACTCTTTCCCATCTCTTCTCTGTTCCAATTAAAAGCAAAACTCCAGAAGCTTGAAGCTTCTTCCCTTTCTCTTTTGACGCAAACAGACTCAACGTTGGGGGAGAGAATATTCTGCGTTTTCGAGCACAGGCAGAGATCTTGTGGAGGGGCAGCGGAGGTGCGACGATAACAAATCGATGGAGCAGCAAGGTTGCGGCGACTGCACGAGGACGTTGATCGGTCCGCTTCGTGGTGCAAGGAGGGAGGGTTCGTTTCGGCATCTCAATGGCCATTCTCGTGGGTGGTGCGGATCACGTTCTTGGTTGAGTTTCAGATTATGGTTTTTTTTTTTTAAATTGAAATTAGGGATTTGATTCATCTGTTTTATCTGCAGATTGATTCATTTGGGAATTAGGGATTTGATTCATCTAGGAAAGGTCAGGACTTGAGATTAAACCAAGTGGCTTATGATGAGTCAACTATGCCATCGTCTGTATGTTATTGTACCGGTGTCCTGAAGCAGTGTTACGAGAATTCCATTCATCTGTAATTAGTGGATTATTTGATGATCTTCCACACCATTGCAGCATTTGTGGCTTTAGACTTAGATGGTAAGACTTGATTTCATGCAAATTTCTTATCAGATAACTTGATTTCAAGTGTCCCTGAGATGGTAAGACTTATTACTTGATATTCGTGGACAGAAACGGGGTTTTGTTTAAGTTCAATGTAACACACCTTTCACTTACAACATGATGATGGAACATCAGAAAAGCTTGGATGAGGGAGATAAATGCTCCAAAGATTAATTAACAATATAAAAACCAAAACTTTAACGAATGAGTTTTCCCACTTTACCCTTCCCTAAATCTGATTCAATCCAAATTTTTAATACAAAACACTTTTTTAATTCCACGTGTGATTAGTGAAAACAGAAAACAGTGTTCGTAATGCACAATTAAACGACCATTTGTCCAATTGGACGGCAGACCTTTAATTGCTCTAATTTTATAAAAATAAGGACCCAATTGAGACGACAAAAAAAAAGGGACTTAAATGAGATTCCGGACCAAAATAAGAACCTAGAGAATCATTAAACCATTTTACAACTTCTCAAACGAATGTTTCAATTCCATAAGAAATAACACCACGACCGAGTTTATCCAAAATAATTTCTATACGAGGACAAAAGTTATAAGTTAATGCAAAAAATAACTACTGCAAATTAATTTATACAGACACTAATACTAACTTTTGCTTAATTTTAATTTGTTTTTCTACTTTCATCTCATAAAAATTGTTATGCAAAAGTTCACTTAAATGGACATTTAATCTATTTAAATAATTATGTTGCTTACATTTTATCATAATTGAACTATCATACTTATATTTTTTACTTGTTAAAGTGTGAATAATTTTTTCAATATAAAGAAGATTGTAAATTAGTAGTCATATTACATGTAATAACATAGATATAAAATTATTTAACTTGCACATATTTATCACTTTTATGAACTAACGTGGTCACGAAATTTTAAT